TGGGGCGGGAGGGGACTCTCGTGATCTAGAGGTACCGTATTCGCCTTTCATTCATTAGGTCCAGAGCTCGAAATCTTCAAATAGAGTACAGTGTAGGCAAATCGCTGTCGTCGCAAAGAGACATGGTGGCTTCATGACGAGGAATCTCCTCGATCGGAAGAAAACTGGACGACAGATTGGAACTTGTAAACAGACAACACTGTTCGCGAAAATGGACAGTTCTCTCATACGACGAATCTGATACAATTTATCGTTGCGTGTAACCGGGTCTTAAGGTATAACTTAAATGCTTAAAGTATAGCTTAAATGGCCAGGGCACAACCACTGCTGTGCCTCCCAGGGCACGGAAAAGTTTGCAAATTCAGGGATTCGAATTTTATGTTAAATAAGGTAAAATTTTTGTATTTTGTTTCATTTGCATACGCCATGCGAAATCCCAGGAGCTTAATTCCAATAGATTATACTTTGCGACATAATCATATGAACGGGATGATAGACGACATTCTACGCAATAATATGTAAGCATCTGGTCATCTATTCACTTACTGGTTTTAATTCTACATATCTAGATGTGTTTTTTTAATTCTCTAAAGGTAGGTAATTAGTTTTTCTTCAACTAATCCACCAAGTTCGAGTGGCTGAGAGAAAAAAAAAGAAAGTATGAAGGGGAAGGCAGTATTTTGTAAGCACGAAGGTCTATGCGATATCAACTCACTGTCGCTCACATTTTGGGGGTCAATTGTGTTGGCGGTTGAAATGGGGACAACGACGTGACCAAGCCTCTTAGTTCACACAGAAAAGTAGCCTTTAATGAATTCTTGTGTCTAATAAACTGAGATTCATGAAACGCAGGAATGCGCATTTACTCAGACCTGCCCCTTAACTCAATTCTCAGACCTGACCTTAACACGTTAACTATTTTCTAAGAAACCATACCGTTACTTCTATAAAGTTGCGAGTGCCCTTTGTATTCCACTTCCCGACATGCATAATGAACAAAGGATGTCCATCCCTCACATTTACACAGGACAAATACTCCGATTGTTCACATGGATGCCACTGGTTGCTTTTTCAGTATCATTACGTTGTTTGTTTGTTGTTGTTGTTTTTTTTGGGGGGGGGGA